ATAATTTAGTCTTGGTTAACCATTTAGCTGCTTATCTCAGAGCGATTTTTCTTCTTTCTTAACTGGAAGGCATTCACTGAATGGTTTGGGTAGAGCAAATTGGAAGGTGAAGTTGTTATTTTACAAATTTCTGTATTTACAATAACATCCAGGAATGTCCTGGAGCTGCAGGCAGGGCTGGAAACCTTGGTAAGAGTTGGACATGCAGAGTTTGCCTGGCACAGCTGGGGAAAAGGACATTTCAGCCCAGATTTTCTGCATCAGGCATCAGAATATTGCTGCCTCCGAGGCAAGGAAAGGCCAAGTGGCCACAGCAGGTGGATGAGATGGGGAGGTGGTGCCATGGAAAGCTGCAGTTGGATGGGATGGGGAGGGGCTGCAATGTGGAGTGTGTGGATTCCAGTGTCCCTGCTCAGAGAAGGTCACCCAGCCATGCCCAAGGGTGACTCTGCTTTCCTCCTGAAGGATGGACTTGGGAATGAAATGCTGGTAAATGTCACAGACATCTTTTATGAAAAATCTTTTTTTTTTAGGATTTTTCTTTTTGAGAAGCTAAGAAGCTTCAAAAATAAAATGTGAACAATGATTATCTGCTGCTGTGGAATGCAACAGGTGAATTTGTGATTGGTCTCATGCAGTTGTTTCTAATTAATGGCCAGTCAAAGTGAGCTGGCTTAGACAGAGAGTCCGAGCCACAAGCCTTTGTTATCATTCTTTCTTTTTCTATTCTTAGCCAGCCTTCTGATGAAATCCTCTCTTCTATTCTTTTAGTATAGTTTTAATATAATATAGATCATAAAATAATAAATCAAGCCTTCCGAAACATGGAGTGAGATCCTCATCTCTTGCCTCATCCTCAGACCCCTGCGAACACGGTCACAGGTAAAGGCAAACACTTGGCTTCCCTCAGCCTCCCTGTGCTCATGGACAGGCTCAGCACCCTTGGGAATCACAAACAAAGTTTGTGAAAAGTTCAAACATGAACTGCCAGTTCATGCTCCCACGGGAGGGAGGCAGTTCTCATGGAATAGTTTGGTTTGGAAGGGACCTTAAAGACTATCCAGTTCCAATCTCCTCCCATGGGCAGGGACACCTTCCACTGTCCCAGGTGGCTCCAAGCCCTGTCCAGCCTGGCCTTGGACACTTCCAGGGATCCAGGGGCAGCCACAGCTGCTCTGGGCACCCTGTGCCAGGGCCTGCCCACCCTCAGTTAAGAATTTCTCCCCAGTATCCCACATAAGCCTGCCCTGTCAGTCTGAAGCCATTCCCCCTTGTCCTCTTGCCCCAGAGATGATGAGACTTAAGGAGAAGAAATGTCCTGGGGAAGTTTTTAGTCACACACTTCCCCATACCTGGAAGGAGAAAAAAAAGACTCTCCTGCTCTGTGCTGGAGCATGGCAATGTTATTCCTGTGCTCAAAATTTGATTTCACAGTTCAGCTGAGGAACAACCAATGTAAAACCTGACTGGGAACTGGAGCTGACCAGAAGATACAAACCCAGGGGTTGTTGTTCTCAGGCAAAAAATGGCCCTTTTTGGCAAACAAAGCTGTACTGTCAGGGAGCTCTTGGCACTTCTGGAATCTCCTTAATAACATATTTGTAACACTTGTCTGTATGCTCTGTTTATCAGATCCCGGGTTTGCAGTAAACACAAGCTAAGAACAAGGGGGTTTTTTTTCAGAATATTTTCTTGGATGATTCCCAGTTAAAAGAAAACGCTTCTTGTTGTGTTGGCCTTTTTTTTTTTTTTTTTTCTTTTGGAAGGATCAAACTTTCCAGTGACCTCATCCCTGCCCTCAGAGAGTCAATGTAAATGTGCAAATGTCACCGTGAAATTTACCCAGTGAGGGAAAAGTAACCTGGATTTCTCCCTGGCTGGCTGGGGAGCACTGCAAGGAGACAGTGCCACTTCCTTGTCTGGAGCTGAGACCTTCCAGCACATCCCTCCCGTGGTGCCTGGTGTCCCATAAAAAGAAATCACAGCCTATAAAGATTCCCAAAGTCACTGAAAAGCAGGTTGTTCCTAAATTAGGAGGACAACAAGTCTTCCCTTGACTCACAAAATCCGAAGGCACCGTTGGTTGAGTGTGGCTTCAGGTGGGTGCTCTCCATCCTTCCTCATCACCCCACAGCCCAACCAAGTCTCCAGGTGCTCATTTTCTCTCCTGTGTTTTGCTGCTTTGGAATGTGGTTGGAGGTTGTTTATCCAACATGTGAATTGTTTTTACTTAATGACAGATCACAGTCAGGCTGTGTCAGGACTCTGGAAGCAGTCACGAGTTTTTAATTAGTATCTTGTTAAGCCTTCTGTAAGATCCATTCTGTATTCTCTAGGATAGTTTTAGTATAATATCACATCATATCATAATAAATTATGCTGATGTTCTTTGGGAAGTGTCTTTAGGGGTGTGATGGGTTCATGAGCCTTTAAGTGCTGCTCAGAGCACGTGTCCAAATGTCACATGTCTCATACACGACCAGACCTTGCCACTCCTTGCTGCTGGCAGGGGTTTTGTCACTTATGACCAATAAATACTCACGTTTTGGCTGTGGGGGATCACATGCTCGTGTGATCCTCCTTTACTGCCTGGTCTTTGGACTTTGATCAGGGAATGACATGAGATCATCTGCTGGGGACAGAGGTGCAAAATGCAGGGTGTCCTCAGCAGGGACCACAAAGTGCCCACTTAATGCTTGTTGATCGTAAAATCCCAGAAATGGGATTACAAATAAGCATAAAATCCCAGAATGGGCTGGGTTGGGTTGGAAGGGACCTTAAATCCCATCTCAAGAGCTGTGTGTCCTCTCCCTCTGGCACAGCAGTTACCACATCTGCCACTCAGGCTGTACTTTGGTCAGGGCAGGGTGCTGGGAAAGGGTGAGGAGAAGCCTCCAGAAATGCAGTTTAATAAAAGCAAAGTTGAGCAGCACAGCCCCCGTGCTTTAACCTTTTTAATTCTTTTTCCATTCCATTATTAGTGCAAATAGCAAGGCCCTGTGAGACACCACGTGGGAGCTGAGCTCCAGACCTCAGCTTGCTCTCCAGGGAAATAAACCCAGCTCTGCTTTACTCAGGGCTGAATGAGCATCCCTACCCCAAGGAGAGGGAGAACCCCACTGAAATGGGGATTTTCTCCATCTCCCCTTCCTGCTGGTCCTGCCTGACTGCTGCCATCCCTGAGCCTTTCTCCAAAGGGCATCACTATTTTTATCCCATCCACAGGGAAACCTGCAGCTTCTGCAGCCCTTAAGTCCTGCTTTAGTCTCCAGGCTGTCAGGATGGATTATCCTGGATATCCTGGAAGTGAGGGTGCCAGAGACAAAAGAAAAGCATCAATTCTGGCCCATGGGGACTGAGTCAATGAACTCAGTAGGGCAGGTGGACAATGGTCAGCTGAGTGGCCACAGCTGTCCACAAGCCACTGGCCTTGCTCCTCCAGGTTTGGTTCAATCACTCAAAATTTGAAATGCACCTTCTCCCTTCCTTCAGGTAATGAGATCCTTGGCTGGTACAGGTTCAAATTCTCCATTATTCAATGAGGCAACAACAAAAAAAAAAAAAAGGTTGTTGTGGGTCTTTTATTTCCTTAAATAAGATTTTACACCTTTGTGTAAAAGCTGATGAAGAGCATCTAGACAGCTGAGAATTGGTCCCAAGGATAACTGGTCCCAGGACAACCCTAGTGAAAGACAACTTTTGAAACCATTATTTGCATGTTATCCGTGTCCCATGGCCTAGTTTTGGCCAACCCAAGGCACAGCCTGAGTAGGAATCAAATGGAGAAGGGGAATAAAGATTTCAAAGAAAATTTAGGATGACACCTGCTCAAAAGCATCTTTTTAAAAGCTCAAGTTCAGGTGAGCTACAATCCCAAGAAAGAGATGGAAATTGTGTTGCTTAAACCTTGTGGTGTCATCCCTAAGGGATGTGCTGGAGGGAGTGATGTATGAACCAGGACCAGGAGACCTTCCATCCCTACGGGAACAAAAACTTACTCAAACCTGGGAAAAGTGACAGAAATATTTCAAGCTTGGGCACAGCAAATGGTTGTGTCTCACCAGTGCCATAGAGCTGTGCCTGTTAAAATCCATGCAACTCACTTCCCTGGGAACCACAACCCTTGGATTGAGAAGATTAGGAACTCTTTTTGATAACAGTGGGTGGAGTTTGGGGAATGCTGTTCCTCCAAGGCATCTGGGGCTCCCACAGAAGAGGACAACCCCACCTGTGGTATTTGCTGGGTCCCCAGGACGAAGGAGGAATTGAGAATCTGACTCCATGTTCTTAGAAGGCTAATTTATATTATATTATATTATATTATATTATATTATATTATATTATATTATATTATATTATATTATATTATATTATATTATATTATATTATATTTACATTATATTATATTATATTTACATTATATTATATTATATTTACATTATATTACATTACATTATATTTACATTATATTACATTACATTATATTTACATTATATTACATTACATTATATTATACTAAAACTATACTAAAGAATGCAGAAAGGATCTTACAAAAGGCTTAACAAGATACTAATTAAAAAGTCCTGACTGCTTCCAGAGTCCCAACACAGCTGGCTGTGATTGGTCATTAAGTAAAAAACAATTCACATGTTCGATAAACAATCTCCAAACCACATTCCAAAGGAGAAAAACACAGGAGAGAAAAAATGAGATAATATTGTTTTTTCCTTTTCCTCCGAGGCTTCTCAGTTTCCCAGGAGAAAATCCTGGGCAAAGAGATTTTTCAGAAAATATGACAGTGACAATCAGCAGGACATAATTTTGATCTGCAAAGGGCACGGCACTTTTTTTTTCAGAAAACAGGGACAATCACCAGGACTTAATTTTGATCTGCAGAAGGGCACGGCAGACAAAAGCCACCTCTCTAACAACCCTTTTTTTCCCCTCCCTCCTTCTCCCAGTGCCACTGAGCTGCGCCTCCACCTCACCCCTACGCTGCCATGGCCACGCTAGAGACGCTGCCCGTCCTCAGTGACCCGGCCTACCCCAGCCCGGAGAGCTTCCACGGCTTCGCCCCGCGCTACTCCCAGACCATCCCCCGGAGCGCCATGGGGAGCGTGGGCAGCGGCGTGGCCAACGACCAGGAGTTCGCCATGAAGAGCGTGGGCACGCGCACGCAGAGCGGCGGCCGCCCCGCCGAGGGGCCGCGCAACGGCTACTCCGGGCGGGACATCCCCCACCGCTACTCGGGCGAGGAGAAGACCTACAAGTCGGAGAAAGTCTCCAACTCGCTCTACATCAACGGCGAGGCGCGCAAGAGTGAGAAGGTGAAGGTGGACATCTGCGGGAACGTGACCGCCAACAACGAGAAGAACCTGCCGCCGCCGCCGCCCCAGTACCGAGAGCCCGGTAACCCACCAAAGATTTTGCCAATTTCTGGCAAACTGGACCAGGTGAGCACCTCCTGGAGCAGCTGGGTGGCTGTGGCACTTCTCTGGAAGGACAGGCCAGGAGGCCTTGGGTGATGGGGCAGTCTTGATGGTCTTGTTTTTGTTTTGTACATTTTAATGTAGAGATGAGATAATTCTTACAACTTTCAGGGGTGTTGTTAGTTCTTGAGGAAACCAAGAGCATGACCACAGGTCTTCCACACACAGCTCATTTAAGTCATTGGCTATTCCAGCTTCCCTGAGATGTTGTGCCTACCTCCCTGAAGGATGGGGAGGGAGCTGGAGTTGGCCCCTGTTTGTAGGTCCAGCATCTGAGTCCCACTCTTTTTTTTGTGTGTATTGTGCCTTTTATAGGCAGTTTCCAACCACCCATTGACACCTAAAGCTGTTGTTTGAAAGCAGCCACGAGCATCTGTTCCCAGTCCCAGTGCCCCTTGTGAGGGAAAAGGCTTGGGAACGTTATCTCCCAGCCCAGCCCATCTTCATGGCTCATACTGGCTTCAGGGAGCAAAATCTCCCAGGCCTGGAGGGACAGAGCCCCAGCAGTGCTTTATGTTGCCTGCTGCTCTGCTCCAGTGACTTCCATAATTTGTGTCCAGTATTATTTGTGCAGCATTTGGTGGTGGTTGTTAATCCAAGAGCCCCTGCAGCCCATCTCAGTCTCACACTTGGTCTCCAGCCTCCAACCTGTTCAGTGGGGCTTATTCTGTTTCTCCTAAAAGGCATTTTCAAAATCCCTTTGCTTCCTGCAGTTTAATTTTCACCTAAAATCCAATCTGCAATGGGGGAGACTCAATCCCCTTTTGAGGACAATTTTGTTTCTAACGGTGCATTGATGGGGTGAGGAATGTGCAAGGCTTTAAAATCCTTTCTAAATCCCTTACAGTGATGGTCTGTTGTTCCCCAGCATTGCTTATGCCACAGAAAACACAAATTTCAAATGAAGAGCAGCTCCAGCATGTTCCTTGCCTGGTGTCACTGCTGTCACAGCTCCTACCTGCTCCTGTCTGAGGACAAGCAGGACATGAGGTCCCCACAGGCACAGGTCACTGGGGCAGGAAGGAGATGTGATTCTCCTGAGGGTTGCTAATCCAAGGGTTCAATTCAGCTTTCAGCAAAAGGGCAATGCAACTTCAAGGCTAGAAATATAATCAGCAAAAATTAGAGTTATTTTGGTCAGGTCTGGTAAGCAAGGGGCAGCCCTACTTGTGACAAGCACTGAGAGAACCCAAGGAGTATTCTAGAGAAAAATCATGCAGGTTTGGGGTGAGTCATGCAGGTTTGGGGTGAAAAGATTGTTTCTTTTCATCTGAAGGAAGGGAAGACAGTGTTGCCCTTTGAGTGACCACAGGTCCCTCATGTGCAACCCCAAATGTGTAACAAGGTGGGATAAGGAGCCAGCCCAAGCTGCATGAGCCCCGCCCTGCGCCGATGTGTCTCTTTTGTGTGTTGCTACCGAGCCTCCTGCCGTGTTTGATGCCTGCTCCTTTTTCCTTTTTGCAGAGCAATGAGCCCTTAGTTAGACCCTCAGCCTTTAAACCAGTAGTTCCTAAAAACTTCCATTCCATGCAGAACCTCTGCCCGCCGCAGAGCAACGGGATGGCAGAGAACAGAAAGAGCTTGAACCACGCCAACAGCAATAGCCCGTCCGCGCCCAAGGGCGGGCTCGACAAGAGCAGCCTTAACAGGACTACAAACCAGGGCGGGGGGCTCTCGGATTCGGGCCGTAACTCCCTGACCAGCCTGCCCACCTACGGCACGGGCTACAGCCAGCACGTGGGCCCCATGAGCGCCTCCACCAGCCACATCAACCGCATCGGGACCACCTACGTGGAGAAGAACATCGTGGGGTACAACGGGATATCTACCTCAGACAGCGGGCGGTCCTCGAGCAAGAGCACCTCGTCCTTCAGCAGGCTGAACCATCTCAACGAAACCATGCCTTTCCACTCGCCCTCGACCGATGACATCATCCAGGACCTGGAGGACAGGCTGTGGGAGAAGGAACAGGAGGTGCTCCAGATGAGGAGGAACCTGGACAAGAGCGAGGCGGCCATCTTCCAGGTGTTCGAGGAGAAGCAGAAGATCTGGGAGAGGGAAATGGAGGACCTGAGGCAGAACTATGCCAACAAGTTGCAGCAGGTCTCCAAAAAGGCGCAGCGGGCTCAGCAGGCTCTGCAGCTCCAAATCTTCAAGCTCCAGCAGGAGAAAAAAAAACTCCAGGATGACATGGGACAACTCCTCCAGCAGCGAGAGGAGCTGGAGAAGAAATTTGTGGCTTTCAAGAAGGAGCAGGCTGAGTTTCTCCCAAAGATTGAAGAGACCAAGTGGGAGGTAAGAGTGTTGTTGTAACAGGCCATAAATGTGGATCCATTGTGGGATCTGGTGACCCAAAGTTCCTCCCACATGCCCACAGATAACAGCCGTGGGTTGGTGACCTCCAGGTAACAGGTGACACTTGTCACCTCACTTGTCTGAGTCCCAGGCCTGCTGATTTCAATTAAGCTAAAATAAGCACAACTTTTTTGTGCACACCCTCCTGTGCTGGTTAATAATTTGACTTCACAGTCTGGTCACTCCAAGTCGTGACATTCAAATCCAGTTTCACGGAATACAGGTCTTTCCACACAGGTACTTGTGCCTGCCAAAAATGGGCTTAAGTCTATTTTAATTAAATTCTTTTACCATTTGCATTTGGGCAAACCTTGAAACCGGTTTTCAGATATTTGATTTTTTTAAAATTGAAGATATAAAAGCAACTGAGCTAAGAATGACATTGATAGAGCCATGTTTACCTCACATTTTCCATTGTAACATACTTTATTTGGTTGTTAATAAGTTGATCTCTCTTAAAAGGCTGAAAGACACATTCTTCTTTCTAGTTTTCCTGTTGAGTCCTACATAACTTTTTCCTACTGTTTCTATTTTTAGAACATTTTATCAAGGTCTGTTTGTATAGCCAGTGCTAACATACCGTTTTTTCAGCTTGATCATGTGAAGAATTTTAATCCTTCCATGCACAGGCTAGAAACTTTAAATTTATTAAGAGTGCAGAGGCAAAACATAGTTCTAGAATCCAGACGACCTTATTCTGCTAATCCTGATGGAAAGTCAACGAAGCTGGGATTAATTAGGCTCTGAAATGTGCCATTTGCAGATGTTCAGCAGAAGGTTTGGGATGGAGCCCCGCGGGTTTGTGGGTGGGAGAGGAAGATGAAGGCAGGAGCAAAGCATCGCTGGTGGGGACCACAGCACAGGGCTTGGCTGTTTGGGCAACTCCAGCTGGGAACAGCATCAGGTCCCTGAGGGAAAAAACACAGAGGTGGGGACAACTTCTAGGTCTGTGGCATGGTGAAGGCTGGGTCCTTGGGCAGGGTCTGGGGCACAGTGAAGGCTGGGTCCTTGAGCAGGGTCGGTGGCATGGTGAAGGCTGGGTCCTTGGGCAGGGTCTGTGGCACGGTGAAGGCTGGGTCCTTGGGCAGGGTCTGTGGCACAATGAAGGCTGGGTCCTTGGGCAGGGTCTGTGGCATGGTGAAGGCTGGGTCCTTGGGCAGGGTTGTTTCATGGGCAGTTCAGGGGACAAGCAGCTCCTCGCTGCCATCCGACAGCCTCACGAGTGCTCTCCCCACAGGTGTGCCAGAAGGCAGGTGAGATCTCCCTGCTCAAGCAGCAGCTGAAGGACTCCCAAGCCGACGTCTCCCAGAAGCTCAACGAGATTGTGGGCCTGCGGTCGCAGCTCAAGGAAGGCAAGAACTTCCTACGGGAGAAAGAGGAGCAGATCCTCACCCTGAAGGACTCCTACAGCTCCAAGAGTGTCAACCTGGAGATCTGCGAGGGCGAGCTGCAGAGGAAGATGAGCGAGGTCCAGGTGCTGAGGGAAAAACTGAACCACTGTGAGCTGGAGGTCTCCGGCCTGAAGCGGACACTTGCCAGCATGGGGCCCGCGGGGTCTTTTGGCGGGGACCTCGGGGACAAGCTGCGGGGGGACCCGCTGGCCTGCGAGAGCGACGAGGCCAAGATGCAGCGGCAGAGCGAGGACAGCGTGAACAGCCTGAGGAGGGAGGTGGAGAGGCTGCAGACGGAGCTGAAGCTGGAGCGGCAGCAGCGGGAGCAGCAGGTGATGGACTTCGAGGAGGAGCGGCGCACGTGGCAGGAGGAGAAGGAGAAGGTCATCAAGTACCAGAAGCAGCTGCAGCTGAACTACGTGGAGATGTACCAGAAGAACCAGCTCCTGGAGCACAAGGTCAACGAGATGAACACCAAGGCCACCAGCCCCCCACACACCGAGGAGAAGAAGACATGGACTCCCTCCAGGCTCGAGAGGATAGAGTCCACTGAGATCTGAGGGGGGCCGAGGTGACACGACAGAATTTTTTATTGCTGTGCATGTACTACCTACTCAAGCCAGAGATCTTCCGAAGGATAACGCGCTCCCGTGGGAGCGGTGTGAGCGTGCTCCCTCCAGGCTCCATCACCCTCACTCTCCATTTCTGTGCTCTGTAGGTACAATAACTGTGGATGTGCGTTGGTTTTCTATCGGCAATGCCACATCTCGGCTGGGGATTTTTCCTAGTACAGCTGGTGAGGGTCAATTGGCTCTTTGGTAATCTGCCCTGACTGTTACTTCACTAGAGGCTGCCACCCCCTCTCCTACAATTCACCCTTCTTTGGTTGGTTGTTTTGGAGGGTTGTATTTGGTTCCTTTGGTTTTCCAAGCATTTACGTGCAGCAAAACAGTTCAAAGTGGCAGGTTTGTTGTTTTTTGGGTTTGTTGTTTTTTTTTTCCAGGACGTTTTTAGCCACATTGGCTAATGGAGCGAAGCTCTTGGGATCATGAGCAAACTCAAGTGTTCTGCATCAAGTATCCTGTCCAGACGGTGGTCTTAGTGAAGTCAGTGCGAGCTTGGCCACTGATTTCAGTGAAACCAGACATATCTCTACCAGACAACTCCCTCTTGCCCTGGCTGCAAGAGGTTAGGACATCCTTGAGGAGCAGGATGAGCCTGTCCTGGTAAGAGAAGCCAACAAGGAATGATGCCCCAGCAGGAGCCTCTCTGGAGGCTCAGCAGAATTTAACAAATGCTGCGTTTTCACTTCCTTGTGGTTTCCTCCTGCAGTTCCACTCCTCTCCCAGGCTGTAACCAACCCTGGGAGCAGAAACACCCTCCCACCTCTGCCTTGGCCCCCTTACTCTGTACCCAAGCTGGCTACAGCAAGAAAAAAGCTTGGAAATCCGAGCTAGTTTCCCTTCCCAACAGCCCTCTTACTTCCCAAAGTCAATGGAATCAAGGTTTGGGGAAGCCTCCAAACCCATGGGATGTTTATGCAAACTGAAGCTTTAGCAATCTGCCCCAGAAGTGGGCAATTGTGCCACCCTGTCCCCAAACGAGTGACACCTTGGTGCACTCTCTTGGGCCAGGGTCTGCTTAAAAACAGCACTCGAGCCTCACTCAGGAGTTGCAGGGGGGGCACAGCAGCATCACAGCTGGATTGCAGCGGTCAGCCTTCAGTTCTGCCATTCCAAACAGCACCCACAGCCATCCCACACCCCAGGGATGGAGAGAACAACTCGCAGGCCTAGCTCAAGAAAATACTCAGCTACTAACTCTGAGCATGAAAGAAGTCATAAGAGGGGGAAAATGCTTAAGATCACGCAAGTGCTTATGCCCTGGCAGAATAATAAACCAAATCCTACATGCACAGTCACTGAGGCAGCAACACCTGGCATTCTGCTTGAAGAGGTGGGCAAGGTGAGCTCAGTTCTTCCTTCATGGACAGTTTTTTACCACAAGTCACAATAAAGAGAAGAAAAATGTTTCAAAGTGGAGTTTGCACTGGCCAAAGGATCAATAGGAGTGGGGATTTTGGCTCTTTGCCCTGGGGAGCAGCTAGAAGAGAAAAGTTAGGATTAGCACTGGGATGTCTTGAAATGTCTGTGAGGTGACTCCAGGGCGAATTTGGCCAGATTAAATTTCATGTGCACACCAAGGAAGAACCTGAAGGCATTGAGGAACCGAAGACCTTCCAAACAAAAGCCCTGAAGCTGCACACTTTCCATGTTCTGTCTCCCCAAAGCTCTCCTGTTCACGACCAGGTGTGACCTTCAGTTTGAGAACAAACACTGTTATGATAAGCTCCAGCCTGAGCAGAGTGGAGACTGCAGTTAGTCCCACCAGCCCAAGGCATGGGACAGTGCTACCAGCCAGGAGCTGGTGGTGGCTGCCAGACATCCCTGGAACCATTGAAAATGGAAAAGTGCCAAGATCAGGGCATTTCAAGATCCCAGTTGACAGCTCCTGTCTTTTCCCACCACTTTCTGCCCGTGTCTTTGGAGCTGGAAGAAGACAACTCATGGAAAACACCAGGGCAGCTCAGGCTAAGCCCCTTTCCCTGGACCAGCCATAAAAGGGAGGTTAGGTCAGGTCTGAGCACTGATGGGTGTGGGGAAGAGTCCTCCTGCAAGCCCTGAAGATCTCCAGCACTCCTGGACATCAGCCCAGCGAGGAAGGAGTGCAGCTGCCTGCCAGTGCCACACAGTTGCAGACTTTGCCATGGCAGGGCAAAATCCACATGCACCTGGCCAGGGAAATCCCAGAGCTTCCTCCATGTCATACTCCAGGCCTTCCAGACAGAATCAAGCACCCCACAGTGGCAGGGTTGGAGATCTGGTGTCTCACCTCCCAAAGCAGATGTCTGGGGTCTGCTCTTGTGAAGATTGTTCACCTTGGAGGAGGAAAGGCCCCCTCCCTCCACCTTCCTCACTGCATCACATGGATCCAGAGCTTCAATCCAGATCTGAGACCTCGACTGTGGACATTCCCTGCATGACAGAGCCTTCCAGACACCCACTAAGACACTCTGCTGCTGGTTTTCCCTCTCTTGGGATTCTCCCAGGATGCCCCAAGCAGCACCCCCAGCTGTCCTGCAGAAACCATCCCACCCCTGCAATGGTGACAGAAAACACAGATGGTTTTGGGAGCCAAACTGCCACAAAGGATTCCTGTGGATTCAGGATTCCTCCCCATAACTGGATGTGCTGCTCCCCAGCAAGTCCTCTCCCCTGTGCCAGCCCTTTGCTCAGCAGAGATGCAGCAAAATGATGGTGAGACACCTGGATTCCTCTTGTTTGTGCCCAGGTGGAGCTCACCTGGCTCCTTTTACACTTCCACAAGTTGATGAAATCTCCCATCAAAAGCTTCGTTGAGGCTCTGGGGTCTTATCCCTGGGTTAGGAAAACCAAGGGGTGCCAGGCTGGTGTTTGGGTGACATGTCCTGGGAATGGCCAAGGAGGCTGGCAGCATGTTCTTGGAGGCTCAGGCAGGGCTGATGAATTGTTTCTGTCCCATGGAATTCCACCCAGAGCTTGGGCTTGACCATCCCCAGCTGTCTCCTGCACCTTGGAGCTAGTGGAATTCAGTTTGACATCCTGGCTCTCGTGTCATTCTCCAAGTGCTGCCCCCAAAATCCTCTCTAACCTGCCACTGGCCACCACCACAAGCTGTGGCCGTGAGGGTCTCAGCTCAGTTGCCCACACATGGGGTCAACAAGGGTATCTGGGATATCTGGGATACCCAACACATGCATGAGCAAAGATTTTTGGGAGAGCCAGGCCAGTGGTGGCAGTCCTGGAGCAGCTCTGGTGTACAGAGCCCAGTCATGCTCCAGGCACATCCACACAGCAAACAGAGGACACTGATCAGCTCCAGAGGCTTCCACCCATGAGGATGTGGCTAAGCAGGCTGTCCTGGTGCCAGGGAAGGTCTCACTCTGTAGTGAGCAGGGCTGCTTTGCTCCACCACCATTCCAAGGCTGGCTGCTACCACTGTCCCAGCAACCCAGCTGGGCTGATGCCAGCACTCCCCTCTCACCCCCAGGGTGATCACCACAACCAGGGCACGTTGTTGTGCCTCACACAGCCCTACTTAGCTCCTACCACTGTCTGCTGGCAGCTGGTGGCCCCAATCCTGCTGTCACTGGTGGTGGTCACTCACCTCTGGGTTTCCACACTCCAGAGAGGAATGGAATTGTTGCTCTAACACTGTTGTAACAGAGAGAAGTGTATTTGGATGTAAATAAGAGCCCAGCTCTGTGTGTTGATGATTAAAAGGAGACAAGAAGGCTCTGTGGCTTCTCTGTTGGCGAGCGGGGCTGAGCGCTGCACATGGGGTGCTCAGCACCCCGACCTGGGCCTGGCTGCACTGGCAATCTGGGCTGCAGCACCTCCCAGGAGGGCAATCCACTTGGGATTAGCTCAGCCTGGTGTCCCTCTGTCCTGCTCTGATGCTTGCTGTCACCCTCAGCCAGGTTTGCAATGGCCCCCTGGTTAAAGGTGCCCATCTGGTGTCACAGCCAGACTCCACACAGACAATGGTTGCCAGAGTGTCCCTCTGAGCTCTGCCCATGGCAAGGACCATCCTGCTCCCTCCTGCCCCATCAGTGGCACTTTATAGCTCGCTCAAGGCAGCGAGCTCACGAGCAACATGACCAAAGATCTCTGGAGAGCGCTGGGCTCCATGCCTGGGGCTGTGTCCCGGCTTTCCTGCAGAGACCTGAGGCTGGTGGGGGCTGGAAAAGGGGAATGAGAGCTGGGACTTGATTTCCCTGTGTCCCACCCAGGAATGTCTGCAGGTCCATAAGGGCCTTCTCTGTGAGAGATTGGACAGGATAGAAAGGGTGAGGTGATCATCCCCAGTTGGTGACACCAGTATCCTCCACAGCCATACCAGTTAGCTCCACACATTTCCCGTGGATAATATGGACCAGGGGCTGTCCCTAGGAGTTGGGATGGATGCCATTCCCTTTCTTCTTGAGGAGAAGAGAGGATGCACACCAAGTCATGCATCCTCTTGTCTTCAGGCAACTTCATGCCTCTCATCTTCAGAGCAATAGGTCAGCAGCAGACACCACTACAGGGTCCAGTCAATTGTTCTGGCTCAGTGGGAATTGTCCAGGAAAAGGAGCATCCTGAGAGCTGGTGGTCCTGCTGGCTGCCCCCTTGGTGTCCTCTCCACAGCTCACCCCAGGGCATTCTCAGCACCCTCCTCACCAAGGAACCAAACTCCCAGGTGAAGGCAGAGTGATCTTCACTTCTCCTGCTTGGGGTGTTGAAGGCATCTCCACCCACCTTTGCTCCAGGAAGGCTCCTAGACCTGGCAGGAGGCCACTGGGAGAGCTGTGCTCCTGCACGTGGGTGTTCAGGTGGGTCTGGGCCTTGGGCAGATGCCTCTCAACTGTGCCTCTGCTCCCCAGCCATTCTCAGCCTTCTCCACTCCATCCCTGGGATGGAAGAGAGCCCAACTCACTGTTAATTTAACCCAAACCTTCAGTTTAAGTCTTGAAACCCCT